TCTATCTCAAACCTGAAGTAGAATTTAATCAAATTAGAGTTTTGAGAGAGTAATAATGCACAAAGTTCTCTAGATATAACTCAAATATGTCTTCAAAAATTACCTTGTTAGACTTTTATGAAGCAGATCATAGCTTAAATTCACTAGCTATTTCAAAGATTCTAGGGGAATTCTTTTGAAAAGTGAATATAACTTTTGTCATATAAATAATACCCCTCCATCTCTTTTTATAAAATTAGATTTTCATATATAGTAGCAAATTTACAAGAGGAACATTCTTGTGTGTATACTACATGAGACACACAGAACTGCATCCTTTTTGGAACTTACAGTCTTGGGAAATTGCCTAGAACACTTAAGAGATTGTGACTTGCCCAAGGCCACAGAGTCACTGTGTGTCAGAGGTAGGATTTGAACCCACATTTTCCTACTTCAGAAACTGACTCTATATCCACAGTTTTGCTGGGGTTTTGTTTGTTTGTTGAGACTCTTTAATTTGCCAAAAGTTGTAAAAATAACAGATGTAAAAAGGGAAAACCACAATTGAAAACCCTGTAATAAAATGAAAATAGCACTGGTTTGTGAAGTCATTGCGCTTGAGTTCCAATGCTGGTTCTGCTACTTATTGTGTCTGTGTCCTCATTGACCTTAGACAAGTTGCATATCTTAACTGAGCCTCACTTTCTCCAACTATAAAATGAGGAGCTAGTTTATAAAATGGACTAGATGGTCTCAAGATTCCTTCCAACTCTGCATCCATTAGCTAAAGAATGTAATGTAAACAGTCAAAGTAAGAGAGGCAATTTCTTTTCAGTAATTCTTTATGGGGTAACAGAATTTAGATTTGGCAAAAATCTTAGAGAAAATCCAGTCTGACCCTCTGGAGTTATAGCTGAGGCTGGAAGAAGAAAAGTGACTTGCTCAGTTACACAAATAGAAAGTAACAGAGCCGGAGGTTGAATCCAAATCTTCCAGTTTGATTCAGTGTATTTTTCTAACATACCACTTAAGAAGCAACTGCCAGCATTAACAAATACAAATGTAATCAGCTTTATAAATAGTTTCTAATGCCTGTCATGAAGCCTGGGCTTCCTTAGTCCTCCTCTGGAAATAATATTGGTAATTTAGTGTTTATGGCAATATGAATGGATAGATTATTAAGCCCCTATACAAAGAAGTAGTAAACTGGATTTTTACTTTGAGATTATTGCTATTTCAGGTCCTTAAGGACCTTTGAGAAGTTATAAAAAATATTTCCCAGTATGAGTATTGTTCTTTTGTGTTTTGTCTCTGCTGACATCCTCATTGAGAGTAGGGATCATTCACTTTTTGCATTTGTATCCCCCAGCACATAGTATAATGCTTAGTAGTTGCTTAATAAATGCTTATTGATTGATTATATGTGTATTCATATATTCTTCATGATGACAACTTAATTTGTAAAATGATGGTGAAAACATTGCTCTCATATGCAGAACCAAACTCCATTTCAGTCATTCGGCAGGTTTGTATTAAGCAACTCCTAGGTGGCCCTGCAGTAGGTACAGTGAGGGATATGGGAACTACAAGACAGGGTCCTTGTTTTAAATTTATTTTCTTTGTTAGTTATTAGGGAACTCACATCTAATTATATCGCTGCGAAACAGAATAAGCATTCTTCTGTCCTTCTCATGATCATCTTTGGTTAGATGTCACATTAGGGCACTCGCGATAGTAGCTGATACTGGAATCCTGACCTTTACGGGTAAGACAGCATGTGCAACCTGCCCCCTAGAAGGAAGTAAATATCCAAATTGATGGCGGTGCTTCATTTTTGAAGAGGACTAGTGACATGACTATATGAGCAGTGTCTTGACTTGCACACGAATTGGGTTTTAAGTGAGGCAGAGCTACACAGAGTCCTCAGCCTCTCTCTTCCGGAGTCATCCAGTTTCCTCATGAGGTCACGTTCTCTAAATCCAAACTCTTTCAGCACACTGCCAGTCAAGTAGTATTTAATGTTACTCTCAACAGGAATCAGTACCAACTACCTATTGTTTAAGCAAAAAATTTAACATTGATTTGTAGTAAAGAAAACATTTGAGCTTTTGATTAAAATTTGCTACATTAACTTCATTGTGCTCTGACCTATCTTTAATTGTTCTCTTGCCCGTTATGTAGAACATTAGAGTTTGACCATAGAGCTATTTACTGACTAAAGATTGTATTATGTTCTTGTCTCTACATCCTTGCTTTGGGGTTATTTTCCTTAATTCGCTATTATCTTACCCTTTGTCTTCTGACATCTTGCCGGTGACGTTGTAACTGAGAAGGAAATTTTCATCTTATGTTTTATAAAGCGGTATTTTTTTGTTACTTTATCCCAAGCCATATGTATTTTCCATTTATTAGATTAAGGACAGCTGGACGATACAGTGGATAGGAGTACTAGAACTGGAGTCAGAAAGACCTAATTTCAAATCCTGCCTCAGACACTGACAAGTTGTGTGATTCTGGGCAAATCATATGTTTCATTATATGTAAAATGAGGATGATGATAGCATCTACTTCCCCAGTAATATTTGTGAAGTGCTTATCAAATGTTAAAGTGCTATATAAATTATAACTATTATTATTATATTTCTTGTAATGATTTTAAATGTTAGTGCCACTTTTAACACCTCAGAGGTGCTGCCGTGTTTGGCAGAATAATAAATTGGAAAAATTAAGTTTTCAAAATCCAATCTTTGTAGTATATTTTCTGCTTAATCATAAGCAGTTATCCATATCCATATTTTTTTCTTCTTGATTTTCCAGTTTTTTCTCCCTAGAAGCAAAAATTTACGTAATGGCAATGTCCAGCAAGAAGTGTTTCCTGGAAATATTTTATCCTCATGAGATGATAGAAACATAATTGGTTATGTTTATTTTTATTTTAAATTCCTTGGTTTTGTTCCAAAAACCGTTTAGCCCTTCTGTTAAACCATGTTAAATGAGTAAGATACGAAGAAAATTGTTTAAAAGGACCTGTTTAGTGTTGTAATCACATACATTATACAAATAGCCCCCAAATTAGAAACAAATTGTGCTGCAAATATTCATTTTTAAATGACTTGTTTGTATCTCAGAGCACCTTTTGAAATAGAAACATTGTTTTAAATGTTTTGATAGGCCAGTCCACAAAAAACCTAAATGAATTTAACCTGCAGTGTACTGATGCTGCCATATTACCTAAACTCAATTTATTATTTTGTTTCTGTTACCAATGTTTTGTGTTTCAGCTTGGGGAGTAGAAGTGAGCCTACTATGTGCCAGGCACTGTGTGCCAGGCACTGTGCTAAGTGCCTTACAAATACTATTTCATTTGATCCTCACAACAACCCGGCAAAGTTGGTGAGATCTTAGGTACACACAGGGACTCCAAGCCCTAGGCCACAATAATGACTCCAGTTGGCTGGGATAAGGGCTATAGATGGAGGAGGAAGAAAAGACTGCTCCAAGGAATAAGAGCTAGAGATTAGTGAATGACTCTAAAAACTTTCTAAGTCATAGTTTCACTGGGTTGAGGAGAAGGGAAAGTGGGTGGGTAAAGGAAGAAGGATTTATTAAATGTGGGCCTGCTACATGTCAGGCACTGTGCTAAGCACTTTATTGATTTTATCTCATTTGATCTTCACAACACTTCTGTGAGGTAGGAGCTATTATAATCCCCATTTTATAGGTGAGGAAACTGAGGCAGACAGGTTGAAGTGCCCATGGTCATACTGTGAGTAGTGTCTGAGGTTAAATTTGAACTCAGGTCTTCCTGTCTTCAGGCCCAGCACTCCATCCTTCCCCTGTCACTTAGCCTTCTCTTTTAGGCCTGGCTAGTCCCTAATGCTGGTTGCTGTTAGTAGTGAAAGAGGGAGAAGCATCGGTCGCACTATAGTGTACGGCTGTTTTTTTCTCATCTCTTTGACTGAAGATTTTTCCTCATTGCTGCTAGGTGAGGTGGGAACAAAAGGAAACTGGGGTTTATGGAAGGAAAGCAAAGGTTGCTGCAAGGTGACTCTACAGGGCAGACATCTGAGAAGGGTAGCAGAGGTTTGGTCTGCACCAGGAGATGGAAAGGAAAGTGAATTCTGTTTAGCAGCAGAGAGTATAAAACTTGTTTGGACAGCTACCCTGGTGCTGATCTGTAAAAGTGGGTGAGACTGCCTATTCTTCCCATACACACAGGTCTACAAAATTTTTATTTCAGTACCCAGGCTTTAGAGTTGAAAAGGAGTAAATAAGACAAAAGCACTGGAGGATTGAGAGTTAAGATGGTAAATTTACTGCTCATTTCCCAAGAACTTCACATTTTTTCCCCCATTTTGTTTCTGTGCTTTCAAGCTGTAGAAGATATTCTTTTGCTCTGAAGAAGGAAAAAGAGTTTGTAGGTATATAGTTTACTGTCCAAGTAATTCACAGGATACTTCAGATTTACATTTCTTTGGAGACCTTTATATTGTATAAGCCTGCTTCTTTTATTTTTTTTTAAGCCTGCTTCTTTTAGCAACCTAATTTTAATTCCCCCTTTTTTTCTAGAAACAGTTTATTATATTTAAGTTTCTTCAAAACATATGCCTTGTTTTACTTTACCCCTCTTTTCATTTTCACACACCCCTGCAATATAACACAGCTCTTATCCATAGTAAATACGTTTTGAAGTGAACTGAACTATAACTTATTATAATCAAAACTTACCTGTATAATACTTATACTTGCTATACATCCTGTGGGCCTCTAAAACTTTCTACCATTATGAAGTTTTAGAGGGAGGAAGCTGAGAAAGTAACTTTTTTTCTAATTTGAGTTTGTTTGCCTTAACTAAGTTGTCACAGACAACTTCAGCACTTGTATTTTTTTTTTCAGGATTTTTTACTTCTACACTGGATAGCAGTCAATGGATTATTTATACTTAATTTTCCATTAGAATTCAAGAGAAGTTTTTGCTACTATCTTGATTTTCTATGTTCATTTTTCTTCCTAAAATATAGGAATATTCTGAAGATAGTAACTCTGAACCAAATGTGGATTTGGAAAACCAGTACTACAATTCCAAAGCATTGAAGGAAGATGACCCAAAAGCAGCATTAAGCAGTTTCCAGAAGGTACTTACTTTTTAAAACTACTTTTATTAGCTTATTTGTGAATATATACACATGTGTATATAAGTTATGTAGAACAAATGAGACTATTACATATGTACAAATATCTTAAAACAACTGTTCAAAATATTATAAGTATTATTCTGTAGCCACAATAAAACTGTTAACATAAATTTGCATTCTAAATACTTAGCAAAAATTTAATAAGGACTGTCTCATTCTTTGTTAATTGTGAAATAGCTTTCCGCTAAATCTGTTTAGGGCAGGTGTCCCAGAATACTGAGAATCTTTGAGCAGTATCCATGTTTTCCTCTTCAGTTAGTCATAGAAGTCTTTAGTCTTTATAATCATAGAACTTAGAGCTAGAAGATTCCTCAGAGACTAGATAGTCCAAATCCTCATTTCATAGTTGAGGAAACTGAGACCCAAAGAGGTTTAATGAATTGCCCAAAATAACACAAGTAGTGTCGTAAGTGAGATTTAGGAGAGCAGTCTCCTGACTCTTTTGGCTGTGCTCCATTCTATTCTTTATCATTTTAATTTATCCTAGACTAGGTCATAATATCTTAATTTAGCGCTGCAAGGGACCTTAGTGATCATGTAGGTCAAGTTCTTGGTGGGTTTCAGGGAATCCATGACCTTGGATGGGGATGGAGGGAGAAATGTAGTGGGGATTATCTTTTATTTTCCATTAGCTGATAACCATTAACTACTGTCTGAACTTTAGCATTTCCTTCAATTATGAATTTTTAAAAATATTCTGAGAAGAGATTCACAGGCTTTACTAGATTTCTAAAGGGCTTTATGACACAAAAAGATTAAAAACTCTGATCTAAAATAACCATCTCATTAATGGATGATAAAATTTAGACCTACAGGAGCTGAATGATTTGACCAAGGTCACAAAGATGAGCTTCAGAACCAGGATTTGAATCTCGGTCCTTTGCCTTTAAATCCAGTGCTCTTTCCAGTACATTAAATTACATCGTATAGGCACAGTTTTAGGAATTCTGTTTGAGGAACTTATGAAAATACTTGTTCAGAGTTAGAACCATAGTAGACTAATCTTTCTTTGCTTTTTCCTGAAAGAACTTTTAAGCAAATTCATTTTTGCTTTCATATTTTGAAGAAGTCTTTTATATTGTTTTGTCTTGTATTTGCATTATTTGCTTAAAATATCCCTAGGATAAAAACGAAGCAATTCCTATGTAAGTGGTTTTCATACCCTAAATGTTGCCATGATATAGTATATTAATAATGGATTGAGGAAAATGCCTTTCTCTTTCAGGTTTTAGAGCTTGAAGGTGAAAAAGGAGAGTGGGGATTTAAAGCACTGAAACAGATGATTAAAATAAACTTCAAGTTGGTAAGAATTATTGGGAGACATAGAAATAATTTTATTGTACAGGTAGAGTTTAGTTGTATCTTGCCATTTCATGCAAGTTAGCATTACATGGCAATATTGTATTACAAGACGATGATGCTTTAAGTTTACAAAGAGCTTTCCTAAAAACAGCCTTGTGAGATTGAGAATTCAGTCATCATTCCCAATTTACAGATGAGTAAACTGAGAGTGAGAGGCATAACTTAATTTGCCCTTGGTCATATGGGTTTTAATTTCAATGCCAGAATCAAGACCTGATCATCTGATGCCAAGTCCGTTGCTCTTTCTATGCAATACATACTTTGAAGTTTTATATAAAAACATGTTTCCATGCTAACACTGCTTTCCTTCTTAGTAGTGTGATTACCGTACATCCTGTTCAATGAAATATACGTGACACATATGTTCATAAATTTCTGTCAGTTAAAGGATCATAATAGAGCTGGAAAGGTGAACTCAAGAGATCATCCAGTCCAGAGATCACCTTATTTTACGGGGGGGGGGGGAGAATATACACAAATATATATATATAATATATGCGACAGGTGCATTATATGTAAATATTTGTACGTAATATACCGAGAGACAGAAATGAATGAGTCCTATGAGTTATCCATCTAACCTCGTGTCATAATCTAGATAATAAGCATTTTTTATCCAGTTGGTTTTTTCCTGTGTGTATAGTATTTTCAGTGGATTTATGTCCTGTTTAGGCAGTTGATACAACTAGCATGATATCCATAGGCAGAAACATCTAGATCTCACCATGTATAGAAGGGGTTTCTTAACTTGGAATCTGGTCTATGTGCTTCTTCTTTTTAAAAAATATTTTGACAGTTTAATTTCGGTATAATTGGTTTCCTTTGTAATCCATGCATTTTATTTTTTGCATTTAAAAACATTTTGAGAAGAGATCTGTAGTCTTTACCAAAGGAGTACATTACATGAAGAAGATCAAGAACCTCTGTTCTATAGGGAATCCTCCTTCAACTCAGATGGTGCTTTAGATCTCTTTTACAAAAACAAAAATTACCTTTAGCTGGCGTTTATCTTCCTATTTTTGTACTTCACCTGATCTTAATATTCATAGTGTTATAAAGGAGCTCTTGTATTTTTCAAGAATTCTTGCAGGATTTTGATGTGTGCATAGGAAATACCTTTTTGAAAGAGAAGTCAGGGAAGTTAATATCGTTAGTTAATCTCTCACTTCTGATTAAAAGACAATTTAACGGCATTTATTTTCAGAAATTTGATATTGATTCAGTTTAACTGACTATAAAGAAATTTGTCGTTCAAAGATCTTTAGAATGGGTAATCCTTAAATGAACTTTGCATTTTGGAAGGACAAAAGGCATAATACCTATTTATATACCTGCCCTTAGATGAGATGTGTAAGGTAGAACCCAGGAAAAATGGAGTCCTAGAAGTACAAAGGGAAAATGGGGCTAAATGACAAGAACTAACTTCATAAGTTGTCCTGCATTGTATAATGTGAGGCATTCAGGGAAGATTTCCCCTTTGCTGAAAAGATCTACCTGCCAAAAACTCACTGAAAATCTGAAGATTAATTTCTTTAGATACCGAGGACATTTAATTCTTGAAGAGTCATGTGGGGACGAGACCTATGAACCCCAGATAAGGAAACTCTCTTCACCAATGCAAGTTGGCACCATATCTGCAATTTATAGTCATAGAGAGTTGCTCAGAGCATTGAGAAGTAGTGACTTAACCAAGGTCATACAACCAGCATGCATTAGAGGCAAGACTCGAAGCCAGGTTTTTCTGACTGAGGCCAGCTCTCTACATTGTGCCATGCTGCTTTTCAGAGCCATGAAATACAGTACAAATAGTTCTGGATGGTATACTGCCTGAAGATTAATCAGCTGTTAACAGATAATCACCAAGTAGGATTAAAACTTTTTAGGGCATTGAAACAGATGTGTGAGGTTCAAGGACCCTTCAGTTTCATCTACTTTGCAGTTTTCATGAGGGTGGTAAGTTTGTAGGTAACAACTATTATCAATGTGTATTGAAGAACTTCTTTCTCTTGTGAATTATATAGTGTTGAAATCTCCCTGATAATTATGCTACTTTAAGAAATTGGTGTTCTAAAAAAAAAAAAAAAGAAGAAAGAAATTGGTGTTCTGCAAAGTATTGTGAGAGGCATTGATTTGGAACTTTTCTTCCAAGCTTTTAAGCTTGACCATTGCTTTGAATTTTGAGGGTTCTTTCTGTATTATGTATTCCTGTTATCATAGTAGAAATATAAAAATTTTAAAGAATAGAATCTAAGATTTAGAATGTTACCAAGTTTTCGCCACCATTTTTATTTTAGAATCTAGTTGCACTAATTTGGGTTCAGTGACTTAAGTATGTTGTTTAAACTTTTATAATATTCCTAACAGATTGTGCATTTCTCTAAAATATTTATGACTTTTAATTATGTAATTACTTGAACTCTGTGTTTTAATCAGTAAAATGCAGTTAATAAGATTATCCAAAGTATTTTTAAACAAGATCTCATGTCTTTTTCTTCACAGACAAACTATCCAGAAATGATGAATAGATATAAACAACTATTGACCTACATTCGGAGTGCAGTCACAAGGAATTATTCTGAAAAGTCTATTAACTCTATTCTTGATTATATCTCTACTTCCAAACAGGTTAGCTTCAGTTTTTTCCATCTTGGTGCTTACCTACATGTCCATTGTTTCCAGTGGACTTTGTGCATATTTTAAAAAATCTAAACCTAGAGACATCACTGAACAATTATAGTCATTAATTAAATTCAGCAAACATTTTTTAAGCATCAGTTGTGTGCAAGGGCATTGTGTTAGGCTCTTTGGGAGATACAAAGATCAAATAAGACACAACCCTCAGAATTTATAGTCTAGTAGAGGGATATCAATTAGCAGATTAACTGCCCACTTGTGTTAGGCACTTGTGATACAAAAACAAAAATTGAACAGTGTTTACCCTCAAGGAGCTTACATTTTATTGAGTGAGACAATAATTACATGCAAAACATGTAATTATATATAAAATAAAAAGTGAATAAATACAAGGATAATAATACACAGCAGTAATTCAAAAGGTGAAAGCAGAGTGCTTTGTGAAGGCCAGTAGGAGAATGCCGTCCTTTGGGCAGGAAGCGTCCTGGAAGAGTGGCGTTGTAGATGAGTTTTTAAAAGCTTTTCTATTCTAGAGAGCAATAACTTTAACAAAGGTAGGGAGAAGAGAAAGCACAGGTAGTGTACAGAGGAAAGAAGAGAGTCAAATTTAGCTAGAGTGTGGTATATATGGAGAGCAATTTTTGTAGTTCTTCAGTAATTTCAGTTGTGTTTAACTCTCCGTGACCTAACTAACATCTGAAGGGAAATCAGGCGAGTTCTTGTGTTAACATCTGAGCCGAGCTTTTAAAGGAACATGGGTTCCTAGTGATAGAGGTGAAAAGGGAAGTTCATTTCAGTCTTGGGGATCAATGCATATACAAAGGCATGTGTGGGAGGTAGAATGTTAGGTGTAGAGAACAGGTAGTTCTGAATAGAAAAGAATATACATGGAGTGAGCAATATAAAATAAACTCAAAAGTAGATTGAGGCCAGATTGTGGAAGAAGGGATTTTATAATTTATCTTACAGGAAATAGATAGCCACCAGTGATTTTTGAGAAAGGGGAGTTACTTTGTCAGATCTGTGTTTTAGGAATATCAATTTGACAGTTTTGTGAAGGATAGATTAGAGAAGAGAAAGGAAGTAGAGAGTCCAGTAAGAATGTTGTAGCTGTAGTCTAGGCAAGGGGTTACAAAAAACCCAAACTAGGAAGTGGCTATGTGAATGCAAAGAAGTTAGTGTATACAAATGATTTGGCATAAAAAATAATTCTATTAAGAAAAGAAAGGACTGTTTAAGTAGAACAGTGTAGTTACATAGGAAATTCACCAGGCAAAAGACATAGAGAAGATGAAAGCGAGGTTAAATAGCAAAAGATAAATACAAATTATGGAATGGCCTTGTGAGGGTCATATCAGTAATTCTGAACCTCAAAATATGCTGAGTCTGATAATGACTAATAAGGGAAACGGGGCAGCTAGATGGTGCAGTGGGTAGAGCACTGGCCCTGGATTCAGGAAGACTTGTTCAAAGCTACCCTTAGACACTTGACACTCACTAGCTCTGTGACCCTGGGCAAGTCACTTAACCCCATTGCCTAGCAAAAATAAATAAATAGGGGAAACAAGGATTGAGGAAAAAAAAGTATTGGAGGGAAGGGGATCAAAGAAAGGGATAAAACCCTTTGGCTGAATGGCACAATAGTAGTAGATGAAAGAAGTCAGGCCTTCTCTTTTCTCTGCCCAAAATAATACTGTTTTTGCTAGAAAAGACGAAATAAAAATGGATAATATGGAAGCAGAATCCAAGATAAGTAGGTAGATAGCAAAAGGGCACCTAAGTACCTTTGATTAATTCAAGTCACTTGGCCCAGATGAGCCGCCTCTCAGGGGCCAGGAAACTGACAAATACTAAGCCATTATCGATGGTTTTTTTCAGGACTAGAGAAGATGAAATGTATTTGCAAAGATAAAAGCCCTATCAGCTTGATTTCAATTCCCAGCTATACTTTTAGAATGTTGAGATAGTTTATTAACTGGCAGAATTTCATCGAGAACAGGTCATGACAGACTAACTTCATTTCCTTTTTGACTGTTAGGTCAAAGGAATGTTGTCATGGTGTTCTTGTGGACAGCGTGGAGTGATGTGTGCTAGACACATAAAATTGTGTGGATATAGAACTGGTAGAAATACTGGAATTAAAGAATAGTCATTCATGGGTTGATAATCAACTTGGAGAGAAATCTTAAATAGAACTTCCCAGAGATTTGCCCTTGGTCCTGTGCTGTTTAACATTTCCAGTGATATGATGTAGATATAGATGGTTTGTTTGTAAAATTTCCGGGTGATACAGCCAGAAGGGATAAATAACACATTGAATTTCAGAATAAGGCTGTAAAAAGATCTAGATTGGCAAGAACAATTGGTAGTAGAGGTTAATGTAAAACCATAGAGCTGGGAGGAACTATAGAAGTCATCTAGTTTAAACCATTCATTTTACAGTTAAGGAAACTGAAGTCCAGAAAGGTCAGTTGCTTAAATTTGGCTTCAGAAAATCAGTTTTGCTATGTGGTTGAGACATAGATCATTTGAGAGAGATCTGAGCACTTTGGTATACTATACATTCATAATGAGTGAACAGTGCTACCTAACTGCCAAAAAAGCTGATGTGATAATATCCAGAATGACGGGAGTGATAGTCACGCTGTACTCTTGTCTATCAGACAACATCTGGAGTATTATGTTCAGTTTTGGATGCTCTTGTAAAATTGGAGTGAGTTTAGAAAATGGTGATCAAGATGGTGAGTAGCCTTGAGACTCTGCCGTATATGAAGATGAATTGAAGGGATTGGGAATATGAAAATGTAAGCTTAGAAATGCAACAGTTTAAGGGAGACATGATATCACTGTTCAGTTGTTTGGAGAACAGTCTTGTTAAAGAGGGATTAGAATCATTTCTGCTTTGCCCCAGAGGTCAGAACTAGCACCAAGGGGTAGATTTGCAAATGGGCAGATGAAGATTTGATCTAAGGAGGCACTGCTGACAAGTAAAATTTTTGAAAAGTAGAATGGGTTGTCTTTGGAAGGAGGAGGTTCCTCCTTATTAAAGGTCTTTAAGGAGAGATTGAATCAGCTTGTTGGGAATGCTGAGGGAATTCTTGTTGAGGTTTGGGTAGGCCTCTGAGGTACCTTCCAAATCTCACATTCTGTCAAAGTTTGGATTTTGATGTTTAGTTCTTGTTACAATTTCAGGTTAGTAAGGCTTTTTTTTTTGTCTAAGCAAAATAGCCTTAAATTTTAATCAATTTACTCTGTTATTTTGTGTTGCAGTAAATCTTTATATACTCATTTAGGGATAGAGAAAGTAATTGACTTTGAAAGATGAGAAAAATGTGTGCTTACTTACTGTGTGCATTGTTACATTTTGGGTTGTGGTGCTGTTGTTGGTAGAAGGCACATGCTACATATACATTTTAGTAGCATTTCAAATCTTTCTACCTTCTACCACCACTGACTTCTTAATCTTAATGACTCAAATCTCACCAGACATGAAATGCAGGAACATATGCAATAGCCATAAAGCTTTCTTCTGACATGAAAACAACCATTCCCTTTTGGGGGGAAGGGGAAGACAATCAATCAAATTGATAATTTAGCAGACTATCCCTGCCTCATTGCCAGTGGTCCTGCTCCTCCATTCAGTAGAAAGATCTCTGCAGCTCTACTGCCATATTGCCTCTTTCATTCCCTCTGTCATTGAAGTATTTTTGTATGTGATGGCTATCTTATTTTTCTTACCTTTTCCCTGGCAAGTAAAATATATGTGATTAGGATAAAACGTGAATGTTACTAGTAGAATAAAACCTATAGTACTTAACTTCTTAGTTCTGTAGTTTAGCTCACAGCTACATTATAGGTGAAAAAAGCTTTTTATGGATTGCCCGAGAGACTTAAGTATCTTTCATGATTAATAAATACTTTTCAAATTGTAGGCAGCCCACTTTAATGAAACTAGGTCATGAAATATAATTCAGTCATAAGTGAGAGGCTGCTTCCACATAAATTTCATTAGTTTTTACTCTATGTAAGCAGACATTCAATAAGAAACGGAATACCGTATCTTTTGTGTGTTGAAATTCAAACGTGCACTTTTAGTTTGTTCAGATTAACTTTATTAACAGGTATGAATTTGCTGTTTACAATTATAGAATTCTGATTTTTTATGTCAGATGGATTTACTGCAGGAATTCTATGAAACAACACTGGAAGCTCTGAAAGATGCTAAGAATGATAGGCTGTGGTTTAAGACAAACACAAAGGTAATATTTAAAGTTAATTGTTTTGGCATTGTATATCCTAAAGACGCAAATCTCTCATTTCAAAATTTACAAATTAAATGGTTTTAAAGACTTTGCTTTCTTACAGCTTGGAAAATTGTATCTAGAACGAGAAGAATATGGAAAGCTTCAAAAAATTTTGCGCCAGTTGCATCAGTCATGCCAGGTAGCATCCATCATTTTCTCTTTCCATATATATAAATATATACTTATAAAAATTTTAATAAGCACAAGAAATAACTGCATTTTCCAGAACAAAAACAGTAACGACAGGTGAAAAATATTTTATGTTGCTAAGTTTCCTAAAAGAAGTAGAAATTTTAAAAATAAGTGCTCCCAAAGGGAAGATCAAATCTATGCCATAGTTTCTTATAGGTCACCAAAAACAGCATACTTAAAAGTTGAGTTGTAAATTGTTAGTTTTAATTGTCTACATAATATTAATGCTTATTTAATCTCATATAAATGTGACCCCCAAATGAAACTACTTAGAGATGAGTATTTGGAATGTAGTTCTGTGAGACTGCATAAGGCAGAAGTCATACACATCTCCATTGTATCCTAGTATTCCTATCTTAATTCACCATAACCATGCATCTGAATTTAGGAGCCTTCTAATTAAAAGGAGAGTTTGTCTCATTATTTTGTAATATAGCAATAAATTGGTGCATAGTTAAAGTAGTCAAACCTCATACAGTGAAGAGATAAATTCTGAGGACTGATGATAAAACATGCCAGACATAGACATTGTGTGGATTTTATTTTGCTTAACTATACCAATTTGTCACAGAGAGTTCTATTTCAGACCAAGGGAAGGAGAGTCAGAGGCAAATAATGGTGGTATTAAAAAGCATCAATAAAATATATTTTTAAAAAGCAGAAATAATTTGTAAATTAAAAGCATAAATTGTATACTAGGTTGTGCACCTGTTGTTGTTTTTTCCTTTAATTTGTTAAGCCAGTATACAAGTTCCAATTAAGAGTAAAATCTGTTTCAGAACTTGGAAATTTTTCTCATCTATCCCTCTTAGTACTGTGGCAAGTGTTTGTTAGGTTAGAGTTCTTATTAAATATACCTTATTGCGCATTTCGGAAGTTCTTCTAGGGACTTGTAGTATTCTCTTCTTTTAGTTATAATCAGCATTATCTTCTGTGAAGAGAAGAGGAAAAACTTAGTAGGAGAAAAAAAAATGGGTAGCTCTTCTCTCTTAAAAGTAAAGGCAGTTAGACCACATAGTAAGCCCACCATCTACCTTTTTTCACTATTTTTCATAACGTCACAAAAATTATTTAATTTACTTCTTGGCTCTTCAGTGTTTTTCATGATAAATTTTAGTCTACTCTTCATCAGAAAGAATATTTGTTCCAACATCAGAGTGAAATGGAAATAGTAGAGAAGCCATCATAGACTTAAAGAGCTTTTCAGAGTAGAGGGGAGCATATAGATCTGCTTACAGTTAGTGTCTTATTGAATACTTATAGGGAACGAAAGCTGCAAAATAAAGTCTTGTAAAAGCACATCTGGTGAAATTTTGGCATTTATTTCAAGACATAAAAACAAGAACAAGTCTTTTGTGCATTGTAAATACTATTCTAGTATTTGGTATTGTTTTGTGATGTATTTCATGTACATTATTTTGGGAAAATATAGCCTCAAGATACAAATGCACAACCCAAACATTCTTTCCCTACATATAGTTCTTGATGTTGGCCAAGGAACTCTTGCAGCTATAGTAGAGGAGTCCCTTCTTGCAGGTGGCTAGAAGCTGACAATTGCATAGGTTCCCTTCTTTACACATGACCAATGGCACTAAAAAGTATAGAATAGTATGTTTTCTGAGTCATCACATTCTAAATTGGAATTTGCAATTTCTTGCAAATGCAGTGTTATAAATGGAAGGTTATGTTCCATGCCTAGTTTACAAATTCTTATTTAATCCATAGATAGTAATGTACTGCATTTTGGCTGAATTATGGGCTAAAAGAGGCTTTTGTGGTCTAGCCTGGGGAGCTAAATTCACCTAAACAGGCTCTGAAGGGAAATAAGTTTTGAGCTTCAAATAACAGACTTAAAAATAAACATTTGATACATAAGTGTTTTCAAGTTGGAAACTATGTATGTATGGGGTTTTTGTTGTTGTTTTTAAATTAAGTTTGTCACACTAAAAATGTTCTCTTCCCTAGACGGATGATGGAGAAGATGACCTTAAAAAGGGTACACAATTATTGGAAATTTATGCATTAGAAATTCAAATGTATACGGCACAGAAAAATAACAAAAAACTTAAAGCATTGTATGAACAGTCACTGCACATCAAATCAGCCATCCCCCATCCACTGATCATGGGTGTCATTAGAGGTAAGTAGGAAAAAGTCTTTTGAAGGAAACAGAAAGAAAAACTATAAAACATTTAACATAACAAATAGGCAGCTAGCAGACTATCTGGCCACAGTGCCAGGCCTGGAGTTAGAAGAGACCTTAGTTCAAATCCAGATACTTCCTAGCTCTCTGAACTTGGCCAAGTAATTTAACCTCTTTTACCTCGGTTTCCTTATTTGGAGAATGAGGGCAGTAATAGCATTCCCAGGGTTCTTGTGGTTATCAAATGAGATAATTGGAAATCACTTGGAACAATGCCTTATACATAGTAAGTGATATAAAAATGTTGTTATTATATATAACTGGTAAATTATTTTACTTTCAATAAATATATTCTGTCAGTATACTGTATATATAGAAAAGAAAATGGCAAACCACTCCATTATCTTTGCAAAGAAAACCCCAGGTGGGGGGAGTGGTCACAGAGATTCTGACACAACTGAAACAACCAAACAACAACGTACTGTATATGCATTATAATAATCCATGGTCAGTAAAATGGTTGGCTTCAAAATGAATTTTAAATTACATTTTTTTATCCTGTGAAGTTCATGCCATTACCACAAACTAAATATATGAGAAATTGATAATTCAAAGAAAACTCTTTTCTACTTAAGCTACAGGTGAGTAGGCAAAGTTGACAAGTTGATGGTTTCCTCTTGTCAGTTGCCTAAGGAAGAGATCTGTTTTATTTTTTAATAAAAATGAACACGCTGAGAACATTAGTCAGCATATTGAATTAAATGACCTACCGCGTGCTACTGACATGTATTCCATGTGAATGTGAGACAGTATTCACTCTTGTGAGTATATAGTCAGCACATTCCCTTTTTCCCTTCACAGAATGTGGTGGTAAAATGCACTTAAGAGAAGGTGAATTTGAGAAGGCTCACACTGATTTTTTTGAAGCATTCAAGAATTATGATGAATCAGGGAGTCCCAGACGAACCACTTGCTTAAAATACTTGGTTTTAGCAAACATGCTAATGAAATCGGGAATAAATCCATTTGACTCTCAGGAGGTATGTTTATACTATAGTATCTGTTGTCCTTTGCTATGTTCTTATTTCCAAGTGTCTCTTAGGAAAATAAATTACTATCACTTTCTTTATAACTATATGTATTTTTATTATATTTAGGCAAAGCCGTATAAAAATGATCCAGAGATTCTAGCGATGACGAATTTAGTAAGGTAAGATTTTGCCTCTGATTGGGGAAATTTACTTAAAACAGCAAGTTAAGAATTTAAATAGAGCACTTTTAAATCTTGACTCTAAAATACTTCTCTTTTGTGGTAATCACAGTTTTACAGTTTGTCTAATCTTAAATGTGCCAAAATAGTAGTATTAAAATACTTGAGCCTTTTTTTCCTTTTAGAAATCAGTAATCATGATAAAGTTCTACCTGCACTCATTAGGTCTTAGTTGTGATATTCTCTGAGATAAATATCGGCTTTGTTAGCCTTAACATATATGTTAATTGTTGAATGATGAGCTGAGTGCAGTGTGTCCCCCCAGTACAATGTGTACAGAAGAAAGAAATTTCTTTTCCACTTTATTCCTTCCTTCTCTTGTCTTTGCCCATCCACATAATTAAAACACAGTGGAATGTAATTTATCCTTAACCAAGGTTGATAAAAGTTTTAAATTAAAAGACCATCTAGCTGTCCACATGGAGAGGAAAGCCTGCATACCTCCTACTCAGCTATTTCTTTCCTTTTTTCTCCTTAAATTCAATTTTCCTCCTATTTCCCCTAGATTGAGTTCATCAAACTGAGCTTAATTAGAAAATGAGCAGGGTTGCACTTAGGGGCATTTGTTTGTGCCGCCAGTATATTTGTAACCCTATGACAAGATGAACAGTTATAAATAGTTAGCCAGGAACTGTCAGAGCTACTTAAATCTTTTTTTCAAAAGTATTTATTAAAGGTCTGCATTGAAAACTTGGCATTCTTATTGTCTCTTTGTGTAATCATTTCTCTTTCTCTGTCATAAACATATGTGTATGTGCACTGACATGCTCACTGTTGTGATTCCATGCTTTTTAGCTTTTTCTTTTTTTTCCAAATGGCCTTTTCCAGCATGATGACTAGTAGGAAAGAGAAATCTTATAAGATGTGTAGATTAATTTTACCCTTTATTTTTATTTAAATTTAGTTGTCTTTATTTGTAATTCAGTGAGGTTAAGAAACTCAGAAATTACTTGAAGGTTGCTACCTTGACTATAGCAATTCAAAACAAAATAATTTGGGAAAAGGGAAGGCTTCACCTAGATGAAAATGACAAAGATTCATTAGGCAGAAAGTGGCCCAATGGCTGAATTTCTTCCCTTCATTTTCTAATCTCCCCCACCCCTACTCACAGTCTCCTGAGCTTCAGTGCAGATGCCATGAAGATAGGGATGGTGCCTCTGGTAAGAGGAATGAATGTTGCCTACAGAGGCCAGTCAAAAGAGCTCCAAAGTTTTTAAGTAACTACATTAGAGATAAAGGGGAACCCTTTGGTTTCCCAAGGTCTGATATCCTAGATTATCCGTAACAGTTTACTAGTACAGGAAGGGAAACAGGCAAAAGGGAAATGTCGTGTGGAAAAATAAGGATTATGGAATTACTTTGAGGCCTTCCTATGATAAATCAATCAGTTAATGGAAGAACCTGAGACAGTATGAAAAATTAAGAGGTAATGTATTTGATTTAGTGCATCTATGATCTTATAGATGTGAGGACACCTTCCACCAGTGCAGATCACAGCCTCTTCATCTGTTATGTTTTTTTCCAAGGTCCCTCCACAGAGGCCTTCATAGAGAGTGTGCTCAACTTTCTGAGAGACTTTTCTAGGTTTTTTAATCTCTCCTGATTACCAGCACATTAGCCAGGCTAGCATCCAGTTATTCCTTACTCTACTAAATAATCAGTGTATCTCTTTAGGGGTTTGAAAACAGAATTTGAAAAAAATCCATCTTTATTTCAGAGAGCAGCTTAAGGTCATTAAAAGCACTGAGAATTTTCCCCATATAGAATCTGTCCATCTTACCCTCTTTCTCCTGTTCATTCTGTGCCAGGGTCATTGTCCTTCTGCAGTGTCTGTTCAAGAGATATAGACATACATGCATATGTGCATGCATGCATGCTTACATATATACACACACATATATACATGTTATTGCTGTTGTTAAGTCTTATCAGTCACGTCCAACTCTTCATATTTCCATTTGGGTTTTTCTTGGCAAAGAGCCTGGAGTGTTTTACCGTATCCTTCTCCAGCTCATTTAATTTGTTTTGTTTTTGCTTTTTGGTGAGGCAGTCAGGATTAAGTGACTTGTCCAGGGTCACACAGGTGGTAAGCATCAAGTGTCTGAAGTCTTATTTGAACTCAGGTCCTCCTGACTCCAAGACCAGAGCTCTATCCACTGTGCCACCTAGCCTCCCCTCCAGCTCATTTTACAGATGAGGAAACTGAGGCAAACAAGGTTAAATGACTTGGGGTCACACAGCTAGTAAGTATCTAAGGCCAGTTTTGGACTTAAGGAGATGAGTCTTCCAGACTCCAGGTCCAGCACTGCACCACCAGCTACCTACCTACATACATACATGCCCACTAGTGAGGTTGCTGTAATCTCAACAACAGATACTCTTCATCCACTGGGGGTTTTTTTTCTGTTTGGATGGTTGTGGAATTAATCTAGCATTCTTTTTAGAATTCTAGAACTTGATGTAGTAAGAATACCATCTGCAAAAAGAGAACATTTGAAGGATTTTGCCATATATAAGGAATTTCTTCTCCATTTGTCCTCTGTGCTTAATATTACTAGATGCCTTGAAGTATAGAAGCAAACATCTTACTGTTTTATGCTTGGCTTGATATTGATGATCACCATATTATTAAAAAAATTGTCTCAGCTGTTATAGCTATCAAAAATCTTGTATGATATTAATTTATGCATGGGAGGCATCTTGAGAAAGGAGTCTTTAAGTCCACATTTTGCAGTACTAAAACAAATGCATTTTTATTATCAGTAAGCATAATGGGATCTTGTATTTGCTGTACTTTTCAGTAAATTGTGTGATTATGCAGACATGGTCTGTTTGTTCCCATCTCATATTTTCATCAAGGAGAGTCTCATAAGTGAAAATCCTCATAAAGATTTTATAGAGGTGAAAAAGCAGGTAAATGGGTCAGTAGTTATTCATGTCCTCTTGATTGCTAATTTTCAGTAGAAAAATATTCTGTGATATTTTCTTAATCATTTGTTATTGTACTGAATCAGCCCTTGACGCCTTTTAAATTGTCATCTCCAGTACTGATTTCCTCTCTGTATACTTGGTCTGATCTAGCTATTTTCCTTGTTGTGTTTTCTTTAGTGCCATTTCCAGTTTATCACAAAGCATTCAACAAATAGTGTTAAAATGATGGGGTTTTGTGTCTGGGATTATTGAAATTTCCCACATACACTCCAGCTTCTCTCCCTTCTAAAGTTGCACTCATTGTCCATCTGCAATAAGTATCCGTCGTGTATATATAAGTACTGGCGCTTTTCGTGAAGTACCCGCAATATTTAGACTTCTGAGTAGTCTACAAGTCTTTGTTTTTTCTTATGTCTTAATGTTCAACCATATTTTCAACCAATTTTTTCACCATCCACCCGTAATTCCCACCTGCATATTAAAATCATTCAAGAAACACTTTTTTAAAGTACTTACTCTATGCTAGATGCTGGGGATTTAGACACACAAAAAAAATGAAATAGTCCCTACATTCAAGGAGCTTACATTCTGTAGGGAAAACAGGAAATACTTGTAAATTAAGAGAATAAATACAAATTATACAAAGAGGTTAAAGACAAGGCAGCTTGGACAGAGGAACACCAGCAGTTGGGAGAATCAGGAAAGGCATCATATAGAGGATGGTTCTTGAGTGGCATCTTTAAGGAGTAGAGACATTCAGTGAGGTGGAGGAGCTCGGAATATTTCAGGTGTGGAAGGCGACCATTGCAAAGGAATTGAAACAGAAATTGATAGGAATTTTTGCTAAGAAGAGGGAGATAGCTTCTTTGGCTGAATCACAGAGGACAGGATTGAAGGAATATACAAGTTGGGGCCACATTATGAAGGACTTTAAAGACTAAACCATAAGAGTTTATATATTATCCTAGAGACAGTAAGGGGCCACTAGAGTTGATTGAGTTATTAGGGAGTGACATGGATAGATCTACACTTAAGAAAAATCATTTTGGATGGCCTGAAGCAGAGAAATATTTGAAGCAGGGAGACAATTAAGGGGCCAAGAGAGGTGATGAGGTCCTAAACTCAAGTGGGTTGACTGTGTGAGTAGAGAGAAGGGTTTGGCTACAAAAGATGTAATAGAGGTAGAAGTAACAATATGTGGCAGCTGACTGAATATATGGAGAGTCACTCAACTGTTTATGGACCTTGTAGACTGGAAGAATGGCAATGCCAGTCAGCATAGTAAAGAAATCCCTAGGATACTTAATTTGAAATCCTCTGGTACTTGGTGATATGAGACTGAAACTTAGGGAAGTTACTGGGCCTGATTATATAGATCTGTGAATCATCAACATAGAGATGATAATTAAATCCATGGGAGTTGATCAGGTCACACAGAGAGTCAGTCAACAAGCATTATTTAAGCATTTACTATCTATCTGCACCTTGCTACAAAAAGGGAGGAAATAGTCCCAGCCCTCAAAGAGTGGATATTCTGATGAAGGAGACAGTATATAAATAACTATATAAATAAAAGGTATATGCAGAGTGGATGGAAGAAAATATGAAAATGGAAGGCATTAGCAGCTAGAGGGATCAAGAAAGACCTGCAGAAGATATCTTTTAAGATAAGTCTTCAATGATGTCAAGGAGACTAAAGGATTCCGGGAATGGGGGATATCCAACACAAAGGCACAGAGATGGTAAGAGGCCAGTGAGGCTGGATTATATAGAATATGTGAAGAAAAGTGAAGTGTAAAAAAAAAACTAGAAAGTTAGAAATGGGTCAGTTTATTAAGATCTTTAAATTTCAAATAGGAATTTATATTTGATACTAGAAATAATAGGGAGCCACTGGAGTTCATTGATCAGGGGACATACGTTGTCAGACCTATATACTTTGGCAACCAAGTAGAGGGTGGATTGGACTGGGGAGAGATTTGAGGCAGCAGTAGTACTAGGGAGAGGTAATAAGGGCCTGGGCTAGGATTGTAGTTGCATGAGTGAAAAATAGGGAGCGCATACAAAGGTGAGGTGAAGGTAGAAACAAGATTTGGCGATTTATTGGATGTGTGGAGTAAGAGGATGTAGGACAGGGACTGAGTAGGGAGCAGGGACTGCAGGTTAGAGTAATCAGGGGCTTAATTTTGGCAAGGGATGAGTGATGATTGAAAAAGGCACAAGAGATTTAAGAATAGAGGACAGGGCAGAATTGAATTGGCTAAAGAAAGGGTTGCAATCGGAGAGGAGGAAAGTAAAGTCAGTAAGGGTAATGAGAAAGTTGGGAGGGGGTTGGAATTAGAGGTCTTAGTGAAGTTGAAAAACAGGTTTGGAAGGGATGAGGTATAGGGAGAGATGGAATGGGAAGAGCAATGTCAGTTTCAGAGAAACTTTTTAAGAAAGTATAATGCATGGGTAATGGTGATATCCAGGATGAGAGCATCCTTATGTGTTGCTGAGGTAGAATGAAGGAGTAGGTCATGGGATTTAAGAAGATTGAGAAATTGAGGGGTTAGAAAATTTTAAGGGAGCATCATTATGAATATTGAAGTCAACCTAGCATGAGGAAAGGAGTTGGGATGGAGAGGAAGATTTGGAACCAGGTGCCAAACTGAAAAGAAAGAAGAAAAAAAAAGAGGAAGAATGGGGATAAGGGGAGGAGAGTAGTGATACAACAGCTACCATGATGTGGATTGGATAAAAATTTTCATTGAGTGAATTTTCAATGAGGAGATGATAGTAAAGTGTCTAGAAGTGGCAGTGGAGCAAGGACTATTCTGACTGTCCCTCCACAGCCATTGGTTAGTGGGTAAAAGGGAGATGAGACAATATGAGTTGAAGGAACTACAGTAAAAGCACTTCAGAGGATGGGATGTTGATGGGGAGGGTTCAAGTCTCAGTGAATGCTTGGAAGGAACAAGAGAAAGTGGTTCAGAATGAAAAGAAGTTTGTTTCAGTATGAAATGGGAATTCCAGAATAAAGACAACAAATACAAGGTAGTTAAATACATAGTGGTTCTTTTGTATGGAAGTGGACTATAGTAAGAACCATCTAATTTAAGAGGGGTAAGGGGTCTTAAAGTTCGACTAGCCCAGTCCTTAAATTCCCCAAAGTCTAGACTCTAGAATATATGTAGACTGTATTCAAAGCTTACATTTCATCATTCACAAAAGAAGGATAGTAGCAGAATTTTATTTTATTTAGGGACCTCGGTGATCATCTATTGCAGCTGCCTCCATCCTATATTTGGGATAAGTGAATCTCAGAGAGCTTAAGTTACTTGCCCAAAATGACAGCATTGAAGCTGAGATTTTAACCCATTTTTCCACTTCCAGTGTTCAGTGTTCTTTCTCTGATACCACACTGCTTTATTGAGACTCAAAAGTATTAAGTGACTTTGTCCATGGTCACTTACTTATTAAGTGTCAAAGAGAGGTTCTGAATCCATGACTCTCCTGACCTCCCAAGTTTTAACTCTCTTTCCACTACATAATGCTGTCTGCATTAACCATTGAATTTATGGTGTCTAGTGACATATTCATGAAATGGCATATAAACACTTATAGTTTCCCCAGTAGGTAATTGATCAAAAGGTATAAACAGATTGTTCAAATACTGCAGAGTATTCACAATCACATGAAAAAGTACTCCAAATTGCAAATAAGAAAAATGTATAGCAAAAGAAACCTGAGGTTTCACCACATAACCTATGAATTGGCAAAAATGACAGCAGTCAGTGTTGGAAGGGTTGTGGTAAGAGAGGCATATTAATACATTGCTGGTGAAGTTGTGAAATGGTACAACTATTTTGGACAGCAGTTTGGACTTAAGCAAATAAAATGACTAAAATGTCCATACCCTTTGAACCAGAAACTCCATTACTGAGCTTTTACTCCCAAGAAAGCCATTGATAAGAAAAAAAATCCTTATATACGCCAAAATATTTATATCAGCATTTTTTGTGATGGCTAAGAATTGGAAGCAAGGTAGATGCCCATCGCTTGGGGAATAGCTAAGTAAATTGTGGTACATGCATTGCAATAGAATATTGCTATGCTGTAAGAAATAATGTTTGTGATGAATACACAGAGGCATGGAAAGATCTATATGAATTAATGAAGAGTGAGTTAAAACAGTCAAGAAAACTATATATCCAATAACAACAATGCTTGTTGGGTTTGTTTGTTTTTGAAACCACTTATAGATTAAGTACAAATGAATATCATGTAACTCAAGCAAGTAAAGGCTAAGGGGGTTATAAACTGTCAATGAGAGTCCAGTGGGCTTGGGCAGGCATCTGACACCTAGTCCAGTGTTCTTTTGACCCTACCACATTACCATATGAGAGGGCTTATCCTATCTATGTTCAGTCTAAACTTCTTGAGAAAACTTCAGTGAGGACCTTTCCTATTTTAATTTAAAACTTACTTTGTCTAAATAGAGTTAATGATAGATTTTGATCACATCTTTAAATGTTTTGAGTGAAAGCTATAAAGCTTTCCATCTGTTTGGTTGTAATGAACTGACAGAGCAACCAGATTTTTTTAATGATGATAACTTGTAACATTCACTATGGAAGCGTCTATGATGTTACATAAGATTTTTTTTTTAAAAAAAAATTTATAAATAATAAAACATTTCCTCATTAAAATGTATATTTGTTTTTACTACTCCTTAATTATTCTGTCCCATAATAATAGTTTCAAATGATGCATTTTGGATAGGTAAGAAAGTAATGCTTCCTAATTTTATCTTCCTAGTCAGTTGGCAGCAGACTACAGGGAAAAAATTCCTGTTGAAGCTCTTGAATCTGCTTTCCCTAAAATGAAGTTACATTGCGATCCAACAGATGGAAGTACAGCAGAGGTCGTGCAGAATGGCTGATGAATATGACATATGTATAAAGCAGACAGTGGTGCCATATCCAGAAGGTTGGCTTCTTCCTTCTCAGCACCGTTAGCAAGATTTATACAGTGCCTGACAGAACTGGTATCAACAGTAGACGCCATACACTTCAATAAATTATGACTGTAAAAGGCCTTTGGCTCTCTGTAGTAAGGGACTCCATCACTGCTCTCTGCTTTGTACGTGTGTCCCATTTGGCAGCAGTTTTTTATGATTGCTACTGTAATGTTCCATCTTTCAGATCTCAGTGGAACTTCATGGTTAGGAACAAGAGAATCAGATGTTTTACTTGAAAGGTTCGAATAGCTGTTAATGATTTCCTAAAAAATGAAAAACAAGACACAAAACTTTCTGATTAACTTTTACAGAGGGTGCATCCTTTTTAAAGGAGATTTAACTCCTATGTAATAATAAATATGTACATATCCTGAATTTCTTCAGTGATGACTGTTAATAGATAAAAGTACAATCATAATTAGAAACATCAAATTTAAGAATTGTGCTTAAATACTAAGTCACAGTCAGCTCTTAATTGTGGCTAAATAAATTGAAGTCTTCAAAGGTCATTTTAATAGTTCTGCAGCTAACAAAAAGGAAAGAACATTTATTGTCCTTTCTGTAGGTAGAATCAAAGTGTTAAGGAAAAAAAACTTATTTTACTTAGAGAAGGTCTGGGAAGAAGAAAGGTGGGCAGAGAATGTGTTTAGCCCATAGGATGTTCAGTCCTTATATATCACATAGTCCTACACCCTCATTTTATAAATAATGAAACTGAGGCCCAGAGATACTAAGTCGTTTGCCTTCTGTTATACAGCTGTTTATCAGAAAAGTAGAGGTTCAAACTCAGCCCTCCAGTCTTCAGTTTCAGTGTTATTTTTTCCATTATACCATGATTTGGGGGGGTTTTTTCCCCTTATATGAGTTAGAGAATCCAGTAACATAGGTATTAGCACACCAGAGTTGACAGGCAAAATCTTTGGATTTTCTGTTTTTGTGTATAGTTTATTTACATTTGTCAAGGTTATAATTCAACCTTTCACCCCCTCCCCCCCTTTTTTTTAGTGCCTATCAGAATAATGACATCACTGAATTTGAGAAGATTCTGAAAACAAATCACAGCAACATCATGGACGATCCCTTCATAAGGGAGCACATTGAAGGTACGTTCCCTCCGAAAACTGATGAATTGGACCTAGATTTCTTTGGTAGTCTAGAGGCATTATTTTGAAATCTCTGGGATATAAGATATGATGTGATGTGTTTCTGAAGAAGATATATATAATGTTTAGTTCTTTTTCTTGTATTTATTACCACATGAAATAGAGCATGATATTCCTTAACATTTAGGAATTATCTGCTTTGTCAGCCCAAGGATAATTACTGTCATCTATTCATTACTATCTTATTTCCTTTAAGATCTCTTTAGTATTACTCCTTTTTTAATTTTGCTGCTTATATTTCTTATTGATTGTTGCATTAAAGTTAATTTTTAGAATGTGCTTTTAAAAAGAAACTAAAACAGTACAAATTGAGCTAAGGTATGCTTGGATAAATAAGCTGTAACTCATAAGCCAAATATACTATGGAGTGAATTAATGTCTGACATTTCTGGTATTGCACTAGTGTCCCACATAGTTGTGGGACTTGCTAGTACATGGACATAGGACTTTTCATCTTTATGGACATAGCTTTAAGCTTTTGCCCCTCAACAGCAGCAATTTTCTATGTAGCAGGCTTCTCATAACGGTGCCTATGTATAACTCAGCTTCTCTAAGGAAGCCCAGAGCTAGTTCCATAGTGGATAGTTTTCTGCTTTTCCTCTTCTTTCTTTCTAACTCCATTCATTCAAAGAGCATTTGTCAAGTACTTACTGTGTACTCAGAACTGTATTAAGAACTGTGGATGATACAAAAACAATAGAAAATAATCTCTTTCCTCAAGGAATTTATAGCCTATTTTGATTTTTAAAAAATTATATGTACAAATGGATAGAAAGAGAAGAAATATATGAAAATTTGACGTATGTGGAGGAAAAATTAAGAGGTGAACACAAACAGTATGTCTAAGCAGAGACTCCTTAAGGATTATGATTTTCCACATCTGAGAAATGTATGTCTGTTGGACCAAAATATTTTTATAAAAACTTTAACATATGCTTTTAGTTTTCAGACTAAAATGGTTGTTTGGTGTTTTTTTTTTATAAGATTGGTGAAAAAGTAGTTTGTTGTCATGAAACAAAAGTGTACATTGTCTTTATGTATTTACAGTCTGTCCTTTTCCTATTGTAGTTAATGTTGACTTTGGTTTTTATTTTTATTTTTTTAACTTTTGTCTTTTCTTCCAGAGCTTTTGCGAAACATCAGAACACAAGTGCTTATAAAATTAATTAAGCCTTACACAAGAATACATATTCCTTTTATTTCTAAGGTACTTGTCACTAACAGGATCTATCACTTATTAATAGTTTATAATTTTGAATGTAAGCATACATACCTTCAGTTTGAAAGACTCATCTATATTCATTAATCATCATAGTTATAACATCTTATTGGGCATTTACTATGAAATGATACTGAAATGTTTCCTTGGCATAAACTTATTAATATAGAAAATTTTTAAATTAATATGCTAGAAGATTGAGTTTCTTGACAAATGTATTATTGATGAAATATTAACTTCAAACACAGTAAACTATTGGGAATGAAAAAGTAAAATATTTACAGTTTTACAAAGCTAAATTTTGGGGGCAGCTAAGTGATATAGGGGATAGAGCACTGGCCCTGGAGTCAGGAGGACCTGAGTTCAAATCCAGCCTCAGCCCAAATACTTGACGCTTACTAGCTTTGTGACCCTGGGCAAGTCACTTAATCCTATTGCCTAGCCAAAGAGGAAAAGAAAAAAAAAAGAATGGCCTTTAATGCATAGATGTAGAATTCAGTAAATTAAAAGAGAAACTACAAAGCTAAATTTTTTTTGTCAGGCTTATGTTAAAAAGTATTTTAGAAGTCTCAATGAAAACTTCCGCAGACATTTCTGTGTGCAGTTATTTCTGTTAAGGTCTAGTAAATGAAAACTATATCATAATTTGCATGAAATCAAAAAGCAGTGAAATTAATCAGTGGAAACATAATGAGTCTTCTCTCTTAGGAATTAAACATAGATGTAGCTGATGTGGAGAGCTTGCTGGTACAATGCATATTGGATAAGTAAGTACTTTTTCATTTTTATACTTTTTAATTGTAAAAATGTAAAATTTTCAATGATAAAGATAGTTGTGGGATTTGGGGGGGGCGGTTCTTAAAAGAACTGCTATGAGGATATGCTTTTCCTCTGATAAAAACTATGAGGGTGGGTGGGTGGGTGTAAAATATATATATTTGCATTATTAAAGCCAGGTTAGATTAGAGAAATGGCTTATAACAGGTAAATTTTTTTGACATTTGAACTCTGGAAAAAATTGTAAATTGTTTCTTTGGGAAGCTTTTTTTATCACTATATAGCTCATACTTCAGCTTGAGAATGATTTGAGTCTTCTTCAAACCATCAAGTGTAAGGCACATGTGCATCACCGTAGGGAGATTAGATTATAGCATACCACCACCACCACCAAACTACTGCATTATTTGTGTTACATGACAGTTAATCTTCATTAACTAGTTACATCTAAGCACGTTGATGATCATGTCTCTGATACTACTTTTTTCCTTACATTTGGATCAACTTGAGAAAATGTGCCTACATTCTGGTTTCTAGCTAATTTTTTTGTAAGGCAGCATAGAAACCCCAACACTTTTGAATAATGTCAGTTTATACAGACAGCAGTTTTTTCTTTTGTGTTCTTTGGTAATTTATTCTTTTTTCTGAAACAACATTCCAGACATGTGCATAGTGGGTGTTTTGTAGACAAATTGTCTTTTGTTTATTTCTAGCACTATTCATGGCCGAATTGATCAAGTCAACCAGCTCCTTGAACTGGATCATCAGAAGAGGGGTGGTGCCCGATATACTGCACTAGATAAATGGACCAACCAGCTAAATTCTCTCAACCAAGCTGTAGTCAGTAAACTGGCTTAACTGAGAACAAGCTTTTACAAGACATACTTAAGGCAACAGTGCAGTGATGTAAACCTTAAAAGAACTGGGAATGGCAAAACTACTGTCAGTTGATGTGCCCTGAAAATTATTGGAGTTGTGGCAGAAGTGCTTTTTTGATCAGCTGGTTTGTGTTTTGCTGCTGCATTTATCCCAAGAAAAACAGCTTTAATCTCCAGAAGAAAACCAAAATGCCATGGGATTTATGCTGTATTGACATCTTGCCCTAGACATACAACACCATAGTAATTTGTCACGGGCAACTGATGACCAGAGAGAAGATTTTTGTCATGATTTTAAATACACTGACACGTTACTGTTGGTTAAATTTAAACATGTTTTACCTGCAGAAATTCTCTCACAGAAATAACCTGCAATAACTTGAAATGCATACCCTTTTGAACACTTCCTTTTCTCATGTATAAATTAAAATGTTTGCTGCATTTTGCAAAATGTCAATTCTCCAAAAATGTGTCCGTATATTTCTGTACCTGCAGTGTAGTAAAGGTTTAGACGAAACCCCATAATGATAGTGGCATACTGTCACTTAGGTTTCAAGCAGCAAAATAAACAGTGCAGCTCAGAAATTGTACAGTTTGGTTCTTGATGTGTTTTTTATTATATTTGAGTTTTGTTTTGTTTGTTTTTGTATCTTAGAGATTTCAAATTATTTTATCTCCATCTAATGATAAGCTACATGGGGATAAATGAATTGATTTCCTACTTTTGAGGTTTGGCCTTTTTGTTTTGTTTTGTTTTTGTTTTTTGCTTTTGAAGTAGTCTATTAACAATATGAAGAGAAACAAAAATTAGATATTTAATAGCCAGAAGTTGGGTAGCACCAACTTAGTAGAATAAAATTTGGGGGAAAAAATTACCAAAAGTAATGGGCAGGATGTTTCTTATTGTCTCTTGAATTTCAAATATTGCTAAAAGGCTTTAAATTCTATAGTAAATCCTATATATTGCAGTGGGATAGAATACAAGCTGTAACTATACAACGTGAGGTTTTTGGGTTTGTTTGTTTGGTTTTTTTAATCACAACCATATCAGAACTTTATAATTGTCACCTTGGGAAGTAAGATACTTATTTTAATGATGCTGCAGCTGTGCAGAATATTTTTGGTACCCCTCTCTTAAAAACTGATTTTGGAATCAAATTGAACCACAGACTAAAATCAGTCTAAATACTTTTGAATCCCACTTTATTTTTACCCCCAGACTACATGCTGATCACCTGCCGAATTCACCAGACGTTGTTCCTGATGCCTTTAGAGTATTGCCAGAAATTAAATCCATCCTCGCAGGGCAAAGATTTTCTACTTTTGAGGTCTTCAAACAATGTGTCAAAGACCATGGGAGCAGTATCCAAAGGGGATTTACAAATATGTAAGGCAATGGCAGCATTGCTGGAATGAGTATATTGCCTCACAAGGTGACCACTTTAAAATGGAAGAATGCTCATTCAGATAGCCAAGGTCTGGTATGTTTGTTAAAAAACTTTATTACTTTACATTTTGAACAGTCAGAACCAAGAGGAAATGTTAATGTGGTTAATTTATTTTTTCTTTGAATATCATCTCTTTCTGACATAAAAAGTACAAGTGAGTGGCAGGAAACCTCTTTACAACCTTCAGAGTAAAAACAGTGTTGTTGGTGGATAAATCCTATTTTATAATCAGCGGTACCAGCATGGACTTAAACACAAGGCATGCTTATTCAGTTTTGTCAGCATTTTATGGAGATTTGTGGTATATATTTATACTCTAGCTCGATCATCTCTAGATTTAGGAAGGCAATAACCAATGTCTATCAAGTTAAAGCAGTGTGAATGAACAGTTGGAAGTTGGAAACTGTAGAACATTGGAAGAAAACCAAAAATGAAAGTCATGTCTATGGTAGGGAATAAAAGAGTTGAAGATAATTTTATCATATTATGTGTATTTTCTCCTCTTTTACATACTATATCCTTCCTTTACAGAATAATGTGTTGTTTATTACAGGGGTGGCTTATTTTTTAATATATAAAAAAGAAATGTATTTATCATTAGTATTTGGAAGACCCTTTGTTACCCAAAATAGCTGTCAAATGAAAGGTAAACAAGTAAAGGAACCTGCCCACAATTAAGATAATGGTAAACAAAAATTTCCCTCCACCAGTTGATAGAATTAGATTTCAGAGTGATTTGTCTCAGGATTTCCAGTGTTAGTACAACAAATCTCCCAGTTTTCTTGTTCCAGGTTTTTGTTCAGTAGTACACCTTTTTGTATGAGGGAGAAAATTATCAACAGACTCTTAATGTTAAAGGAAGGAACTATATTTTCACATCCAATATAATTCTCAAAGAACATCCCTATATAACTTTGATTTTATTCATGCCTTTGGTTGGAGAATTAGTCTAAATGTGTCTCTTTGTTAAAATCTTTAATTTATATGTAGTTATTTCAATATTAGTAAACCTAATTCAGTGTTTACAAGATATATTTTTCTAAATTTAATCATTTAGATTACATAATTTAGTCTTGTATCTAGAATATGCACTTAATATCTGTTCACTAACACTTGGAACAGTATTTGTTTGGTTGAAGCTCTGTGTTTTGCTTTGTTTTTTGTTCTTCAAATCTTGTAAGACTGAAGTATGGATTAGAGATTGAATTTAAGTTGTATTTTGACAGGCAAGTGTGCTAGATTGGCAAACTTATGACAGTGGTCTGTTGATAGATTTATCCATGGTTCTAATGAAACACAGTTTTTGACTTTAAATTATAGTGTAATAGTTTCACCTAGTGTTTTTACACTCAAATTTAGTAGTTATCTTTTGCCCTGCTGCAAACTTAGGCTGATGTCATTCCTATATACATATGTGTGTATATGAATGGTTTCTCTGCTTCTGCGTCATCCCCTCAAAATGATTACTTTATAATGATGGTTAATGTAGATCTGTAGACACACAGAAGTATTTATGTGTGCGTGAGTGTGAGTATATACACACACAAATATATATATATCACTTGTTTATTTCAGTGTTTTCTTTTTGGCTCACACTATGATATTTGGTTTACATTTTTACAAAATAGAAAAATTAATATGAATGTACTATAAATGGTCCTTTGGCACTTTAAAAATTTTTTAGAATGTTAGTAAATGTATTGATTTCATTATAGTATGGTGTTCTAACTAATAATTAACTAGGTGATGGTGTATCTTTTCAAGACTCATGAAAATTTGATCTCACTTTGTGAGTATAATTTAAATGAAGCCTATTTTAAATGGGCCACATTATTTACAATATCATTGCAAAGGGGAAAGAACATAGACCTTTTCCAGACAAAAGACCCATTCATTCATCTGGCAGTATTGTTAGAAAATATGGTAACTATTTAACATCTCCATTAATTTAGAAATTTTTTAAAAATAAATTTTTTTATCAGTATTTTGTGTGATGTGGTGGTGAACGCAGGTAAGTAAACTTTTTGGAAATAAAGTGTTTAATATATCAAGTGGGCATTTTACCCACTTGAGTTTCCCTCAGTAAAGGTGCCTTGAAGAAGAAATACAGGAACTATTTTTGCCAGAATTGTTTTTAAGCCCTTGCATTTTGACCTAGTTTGAAATAATGTTTCAGATTTCATAGGTGCAGGGAAATAGATATTAAATTAATTGCAAAGTTACTTTTAACCTGTATAATTGAAATTATGCTTCTAAAAATGTTTACTTCAAGTGGGAGGGAATTGTTTTTATTTAGATGTTGCTTTTATTTGAAAACACACGTTTGAAAGTTTGTGTTTTGTATTTTTTTTTAAACCTTATTCAGGCATTGAAAGTAAAACCCTGTAATTCCTGTGCTTGTTAACATTTAGATGCCTAAATAGAGCAAAGAATTTCATTCTTTTTGTGATTATTCGTGTAATAACGTCTGAGTTTTATAACACTTTGTTTACTAAGTTGTGGTAACATAATAGCCCTCTTCAGTATATAGTACAAATACTATTACCCCAAGTTTATGAATGAGGAAGCCAAGTCTCAGAACTGTCCAGTGACCTACCAAGGTCATACAGTTGATAAATGAAAAAGCCAGGACTTAAACACAGGGTTTTCTGATTCTAAGCTCGGTGCTCTTTCCATTATACTCTTCTGTTTCTCTTCTGTTTACCATTGGAAAGAATAGAATTCTGAATTAGAGTCCACACAGCTAATTTCTTTAAAAAAGGAATTAACTTTCACCTGTTCCGTCCCAGAGTGTTAGAGAACACAACCAGTAGTTAGAACAAGAAACTAGGTGTCATATCACACAGCTCGCTATTTTTTTTTATTTGTGCGACCAAGAACAAAACATTTCCTCTGGGTTTTTTTGGGCTTTAATTACACCAGCATCGTTTTTAGGCAACTTCATGTATTGGTAACAAGATTCAGGTTCTACATAAAAACTCCATGAAATTCCTAATAATGTCATATCCGGAGTTCTCTTATTAGAACCATTTTTTAAAAGTCTGTGTATTTTCTAAGTACAGTGTGCACACTGAAGGTTCTTAAGTTGTGGTTTAAAACTATTTATTTTGAATCATTAAGTAGGAATTGAGTGTTATGGTAATCATCTGAATCTTTTGCAATGGAGTATGGGAAAGTGCTGATTAAGTCAGAATTTTAATGCTATTAAGAGGATTTATGTTTTGTGAAGCTAAGCCCTACAAATAAAAACTAAATTCAATTTGCTGTTGGTGATTCATGACATTTGCTCCCAAAACTGAAATGTAGTAATAATTGTTTTCTTTTGAATCCTGTGGAAAAATATCTTATTTTTAAAATTTTGTGTAATATCCCATAGGAAAAAATAGTATGTGATTTCATCCCCGTGAATTGTTCTAGGGTTCTTTTACTTCAGGAAGAGTTAAAGTTCTTTATTGTACTATGAAGGATGGGTACCACCTCTTTCCTAAACCTGTAAATGCCTTGCATTTAGTCTAATTCAGGCCTGCACAATCTGCAGCTTCGGACCATGGGAGTGCCAGGGATTTCAGGCAGCCTCTGAAAAATGTAAAGGAAAACATCCGCAGGTTGTGTAGGCCTGGTCTAATGCATTATCTTACACTGTTTGCCCAAATAGTTGTACTGACATGAAATTATAAATGATGGTTTGTTTTTCAGTATGGCTGACCAATACAACACGTAAATATATAAAACTTAATTAGTTCCTTGAATTAGCACAGGTTAGCCATGCTGTATAGTTTGGAAAACATGATCTTCATTTCTAGCTCAGAGTAGGTTCTTAACAGCATCATGTAACATCATATGAAGACAAATGGCCAGTAATCTTTCACCTATACTACCCAGGAAGCCTGAAAAGTATTGCCATAGGAAAACTCATTGCCGTGAATTGTAGATGCATGAAATTATCTGGAGAAGGTAAATGTATTTTGAAATAGTTCCTAACATATTTAGATGCATTGGTGTTATAATATGGAATGAGTACTCCCTCCACTGGCACAGATAATACTCCTCTATGCCTTCCTGTACAATTCATAAGATATTGTCATCAAATGCTAAAAGTAGCTTACTTGTTTGGCATTAATTATTTTAATTTCTTGAAAACTATTGCCAAAGATTTTATTTGATGAATGAAATAATACACATTTATTGATCATTTGATCAATCGATTTGATCATTTCATAACTTATAACACTTGATCGTATGTGAAATTGTTGTCAGACTTTCTCCTGCACTTAGTCACGTTCTAATGATGGTGAATACCAGTGACATTTCGATATTGTATATATTGAATTTCTCTTTTTTATTACAGTTTTGCTCGTCATATTTCAGACCTATACTGTATAGTTAAAAGAGCATATGATAGGAATTTGACTAAAATATTATCATCAATAATCTGCAGCAATGGAAGGAAACAGTAACATAGATATCAACATAATGTTTGATTTTAGAATGGTTTATATGAGTTGCTATCCCACTTCTGTTGTGCTTAAGCCTAATATTTAAATTCATTTGTATTCCCAGAGTTCATACTGATTAGGTACTAGGGACAGGCGGCCATGAGTTTGCTGCATGGCAGAAAAAGCCAGCTAATAACTAAACATCTATTGAGGATTTTCCTTGAATGAATAATCGAGAATTGGCTAATATATTTAGGGTGAGTCACAAGGCTTTCATGTCATACTTTTAGTACAAGACTTCTGACTCATCAAAAGAAAAATTACTTGTATGTTTAAAAAATTTGCATAACCAGTTTTTTTGTTGTTTTTGGGCAGTTGGGGTTAAGTGCCTTGCCCAGGGTCACATAGCTAGTGTCAAGTGTTTGGTCTTAGGTCGGATTTGAACTCAGGTCCTCCTGACTCCAGGGCCGGTGTGCTTGATCCACTGTGCCACCCAGCTGCCCCCCTGCATAACCAGTTTCTAAAAACATTTACTGTGTAAATCTTGGTTAGCTACTCTTAGCACCAGACAAATATAATAGCTGTAAACAATGCAAGTTATATCCTTGACTACATAGCTCAATGTTTTATACTGTTAAGAGTGTACTTTTGCATTTTTAATACTAAAATTTTCAGAAAGCCTTACTTAATCATGGCTTTTTTTCATAGAAGAAAAGTTGGTCTGTTCTGTTGGATTTTGAGATCATGAGTAGAGTATTTTCCATTCCAAGATTGTATTTCTGTCTACTTTGAAACATCCAAGGAGGTAGAATTTGCCTCTCCTCAGCCCTGTTAATAATCTGGTCTAAAATAACTTTTCTTAGTAAATGTTCTTCAAATATAAAAGATTAAAATTTCTAATTAAGGATTTAAGTTTAATGAAAAAACTCATTGTCACAATGCCACTGGAAAAAGAATATTATACCAATTTTTGAATTTTTGGAATGAAAATGAATAGTTTAAACTACTGGGGATTTCACCAAGAGCTAATAATGTTCTCAAGTCAACTTGTAACATTGTTCAATAGGACATCCCTAATTTCTCAAAGAAGTTTTGAAAGTTTATGAGACTGATAAAGCTCTGGGATGAACAACTCTTAAAGTTGCAAAGTAAATTTCTAAAACCTAAGTTATTTTGTCACACACTGAAAAAAATCTTTGGAATTCCCTTTTTAAAATAAAACTTTCAAAAATAAAGAGAGGTGTGAAAGTAGATAACAAGGGCCTGGCCTTAGAGTTAGAAAGAGCCTGAGTTAAGGCCTTCCTTTGACAGGATTGTAGTTGCAAGACCATGGGCAAGTTACTCAGTAACGCTGTGCCTAAGGCAGGTCTCAAAAACCAAATAAAGAATATTCACATGGAGTTAACCCCACTGATAAAAATCATACACCTGAAGCAAAACAGATTTTTCCTCAAATTAAGCTTAGAAGATTGAAAAGGAGAGCAAACAACTTACTTCCCACTACAAAAAGGGCTATGTTTCAAAGGACAATGATAACAGGTGTTAATTTACTAAGATAACCATAGCCTGAGTTAACTATAAGAACGTTTTAATGTTGATACTTTACAGCTTACTGAGCTCTTTTTATGCCACCTTGCTTTTTTTTGTATACCTATCTTCCCCAACATATTTTCTGATTTTTATCTCTTCTTCCACTCCATCTTTCTATGTGTATGTGTTAGTTTCACCTTTGTGTGTATTGTGATTAAATGTAATTTTGTTTCTACTTTATTTATAAGTAAGTGGAAGATTATATAGTTCCTTTAAAAAAAAAAACTAAGTTAATTTGCTTTTAAACTTCTGTGTTACCTTCAAGTGATTTTTCCCCTTGACTTAGTGTCCTTAAATAGGAAAAAATAAAATTTCCCTAACCCTTGATCTCATCAATGGAGTACTCAATTGGAAATTGAGTAGAAGACTGGGATAGGATATATGTGAACTACTGTTGCTGTAGTAAGCACAGACATTCTAGTTCAGATGAATAATTCTGACTTATTACTAAGTCCTTCATATTGATGTCCACACCACATCAACAAGGACCTAGTCGGTTGGAATGCTAGAAAGACTGGAAGGAAAAACAGACCTTCTATAT